CCCCAAAACCCCAAAACCCCAAAACCCCTGAGAGAAATAGTGTTTATAAATTATACAAATGAAAGATTATTATATAAAGGATAATGGATAATTATTATATTTAAGCTCTAGAACTTAGAGACATCTAAGAAAAGTCTATCTTTCAATCTACTTTTAAAGATAATTATGAAATGCTCATGCAGATTAAAAAACTTCAATAAGAGCTATAGAATTTTTAAAATCTAGAAGCGATTGATAGATATTCGTAATTTTATTTATATCTTAACTCTTCATTAGTGAATCTAATATAAGCACAAGAAATTCCACTAATACATAAAAAACTCAAGAAAACATTGATGAAAAATAAAAGTTAGTCAAAGATCTCAATGAAAAACTTAGAATTAATTAAGATCAGCAACAGCAGATTATATCATTAACAAAGCTAACTACTTCTCTGACTGAGGCATAAGAAGATACAAAAAAGCAACTATAAAGAACAACCAGAGAAAAATCAGAGGCTCTCTAAAAGATATAGGATTTAGAGAAAGCTCTGAATGATATGGCAATGAAATATGGGGTGATGGCCTAAGAACACTCAGCAGTCAAGGAAACAAATGTATTTTTAGAAAAGAAAATGAGGAATCTATCAACTGAGAATCAATAATTTTTAGCTACGCTTATGGATTTGAAGGAGAAATAAATAGAGAAATTAGACGAAGCTAATGAACTATTTAAAGAAGTTGAAAAAATGAGGGCATAATTACAATTATCCAAATTACCAAAAGGAGTGCTAGAGTTGATACAAGACTTAACTAAAAATGGTGATTTCAATTTGATTTAGGAAATAGTTTCATAGATAAAAGATATGTAATTTTAAACAAATGGTAATGAGGAACAGAAGATAGAAAATGACATTGTAAGCAATAAGTAAAGATCTTAGAGCACAATCATGCCAAATAACATAGGATCCTCTATTCTTTAGAATGATTAAAGAACTCGATCTGAAACAATGATTCCATTCCCCTTATCCAAAGGAGAACAAGCTCCATCAAAGGTTGAAAGCAGATTTAAGGCTCATGATAAGGAAGCTACCTGTGTCAAGTTTAATTGTAATGGAAATTTGCTAGCAACTGGAGGTGGAGATTCAACAATTAAAATATGGGATCTTAATAGATAAAATGAATGTACTCCTGTTAAAATTTTCAATAAGCCAATATCTTGCCTTGCATTTGCAAGAGATTAAGAATCAATATTTATGGCATGCTCTATTGATAGAAAAATATCTATTTGCAATGCCAAACCTTTTAAGCTAAATCAAACAATGTCTGGTCATTCTTAAAATATAAACTCATGCACTTTTTGCTACTCTCAATAGCTTGCTCTAACTGCAAGCTCTGACAGAACAATTAAGATCTGGAATTATGCCACTGGCTCAAATGTTGCTACAATGGCTTGTGCTAGTGAGGTAATGACATTAGATATCTCTATTACTGATAGTGTTGTAGCTAGTGGTCACAAAGATGGGAATATCAGGCTCTGGTCAATTAGAGATCATAGCCTGATCAAAGACCTTAAAAATTTGCATGATGAAGCTATCACTGATCTTCACTATATGCCTGATGGGAATCAAATTATAACAAACTCTAAAGATCATACATTGAAGTTAATTGACACAAGAATGTTTTAGGTTGTAAAGACTTTTGAAACTGATCACTACATAAACTCAAACGAGACTAATTAGATAGGAGTGAGTCCCACAGGCAAATTTGCTGCACTTGGGAGCAAAAATGGCAAATTAATCATAATAAATCTAAATGATGGTGAAATTGAGGAGATGTTTGAAAATGAGCATACAACATCTATAGTTGCTTGTGACTGGTCCAAGAGATTAAGTGCTAAGGTAGCAACTGTAGATAGCATCGGCATTCTATTTATCTGGGATTGATAATTATCTATTCAAATAACATTTTATTCGTAATTTAAGATTAAAAATATCGATTAAGTGAGAATTTTAAATGAATTGCTTCTCTAAATGCTTTTACTTATTGAATACTACGGGGTTTTGGGGTTTTGGGG